CACACACACACACACACACACACACACACACACACACACACACACACACAGAGAGATATCTATATATATATATCGTCAGAAACAGAACTGCCCGGTAAACCGTAGGCAGATATATATATATAGAGAGAGAGAGAGAGAGAGAGAGAGAGATGGTTGGTGCAATTATGCATGAGCCCAGCCATCGGTGACATGAGACAGTGATCCGTTCTGAAGCATGCAATGATGGCAGGCAGCATTCCCGAAAAAAAATCCATTCCCGTATGACACCGCACAGGAAACCGCCACACAGTCACAGAGAACATATGACAGTAGAATTATGAGACAGATGTCGGCATTTTGAACGCAGCATTAAAGCTAGTTTATCATTCGACAATTGGAGAGAAACCATCAATGCGAACAGCAACAACCAAGGTGAGTGCTGCACATCGTGCCGAAAAACTAGAGAATTCAAAAATTACACTCCACGCTTCATCTGATGGGGTGCAATGAGAGGAAAAACAACGATTTCGTAAACCAACACCATGACGTCAGAGATAAAGCAATGACAAAAACAGGAAGAACGAAGGGCATGATGATGCAGTCTTCCGCTGAACACAACGCACCCTTATCATTTTTAGTAAGACAATAATAGAGCATCAGCAGCATCTGCGCTTGGTTTTAGAGAAGTTGTGCACTGCGAAGTTCAAGGTGAACCTGAAGAAGTGTGAATGGGCTAGGCATCAAGTGTTGTATCAGGGTCATGTATTGGACGGAAATGGGATCATGAATGTGCATACGAGCAATCTTTCCGGTCGCATACATTCATGAGAGTTTCTCCATTGCCACCCTCTAAGAACAACGGGCAATCGGGTAGCACTCAATTTACATGATTTTCAAGGAAAGGGCAGGCCCATGGTCTTGGCATTTTCCCAAATCCGAGTACCCAAAACAAAGTACTTTGGACGCTCAGTGGGCCCCGATTGTGAGACAGCTTACTTCACAGCAGGAACACGGGGGGAAACGACAAAGATAGGAAGAAAAATGTCAGTCGTGTTTGCGGATTAGACGCATGGCCAAAATCGGGGGGCAACCGAGGGTAGAGGATCACAATAGGAAGCTCCTTTGATGCTTCATTGTGCATAATCTAGCTCCTATGTAGGCTTCTCGAAAGCATATGACTGAACTGCTGCGACAAATCGAGCTTCGGTCCAGTTTAGAGGTTGTCGATTCCTCCTTGTGCAGCGCTCACCTTGCTTGTTGCTGTTCTCGCATTCTTGCTGGAAAGAAAAACGAGGCAAACAATTAACTTCAAGACGGGGATCATTTTCCCTCTGTCTATAACTGAACTGTGGTGGGAAAGTCGACGCTTCATCCTGCTTTTCTCTTCCATACGAAGACTTACGGAATTAGGCATTTATGATGAGTCAATTGGTTGATTGATGATAATGGAGGAGAGGAGGTGGAGATACAACGAGCTGAGAAGAGAGCGTCAGCTGGCTATACTCAACTGCCCACGAAACAGGATGGACGGTTGACTCCCTCTGGCATGCTTGGCGCACAGCTAAGGCTTCGAGCACACCCTCCTCTAATTGAGTAGAAGGGAGGAGAGGAGGCGGAGATACACGAGCCGGGAAGAGAGCGTCAGTCGGCTATACTCAACTGTCCCCTTTTAGAAAGTCAAAGAGGGTTGGGCTGTTGACTGATTCTCTGTGTGTGTGTGTGTGTGTGTGTGTGTGTGTGTGTGTGTGTGTGTGTGTGTGTG